GTCCTTTACAGGAACAAACCTTGGCTCTGAGGAAAGAAGGGATAGGCGTTGTGTTAGATTCTGAACTGCCTCATCTCATTGGCATTGATGATGATCTACTCAGTACTGGTATCATCTTGTACCACTTGAAGGTAAATACACATCTGTGTTTCCATAGCCTTTATATGCCTTGTGATTTTTTTTCAGTAGACAAATGGTAGTGTTAATTTGCTATCTAAATATAGCGCTCATTACATTTCTCCACCATAGTAAGAAAAGCTTTTAAGAGGTTGCAACTGATTCAATTAAAATATCTCTTAATTTACTGCTTAGGTTTATCCTGAGGATCAACTGGTTAACCAGAGATAGGTGTTTAGTATTCCTACCCACGTATATTGTTTTTTCATTCATCTCATTGTAAAGGTTGACTTGAAATCCAAATCTAGATTAATTGCCTCAAAACTACAAAGATGGTTTTACACAGGGCAGTTGAAACTTGAATTTGCTAATGATACTGTATAATAATGACTGTGAAAGCATTCTAAAAATGCTACCTGAATTTTTTTCATGTATATTTAAACATACTTTTTTTTTGAGGTTACTCTGAGAAAGTGGAAGGATAATTTACATCTTTGTGGGGGAGGAAGGGAGATTTCAACTGAAAATAATGTGTGTTTCTCCCTTAATTAGGAGGGCCAAACATATGTTGGCAGAGAAGATGCTGTGACAGAACAGGATATTGGTATGGAATTTAGCATTTTTTTTTTACATTCTTTCCTTGGTTGTTTTTCTTTCTTCTAACACTGCAATATGTGAACAAAGCTTCATAATTTTTTTCCCTTTTTCAGTTGTCTGTATGCTCTTGCATATTTTAATTTTTAGAAAATTTGAGAGCTGAGTTACGTGCGATTTGCTTCGGAGAGCATGACTTCTAGAATAGCTTGTGGGCTTAAAATTTATTGATATTCATATACTTGTTGCTAATTTATTTCTTGCTTCTCTTGAAATAGCATCCTGTTAAAATACCATCCTTTTTAATACAGCACCTGTCACAATTACTGCACAGTCATTCTCTTAATCTTTGTGTAATGACAGTGGTGTTATATTGTTATACCTAAAGCAGTCTTTGGACTTTAGATTTGAGTTGAAGAAAATTCTGGAAGTTGATAAAAAGTAGGTAGGCTTCTTGTACTGATTTTCTTATTCACTTCTTATCAAAGCAACTAACTGCCAGACCTGGACTGCCCTGTCACATATGTTGCTTGAAGGCAGTTTCATTAAGTAAACTGCATCCTTTAATTCTCAGATAAGAGACTGAGAGTCAAATAACTTAGTTTGGTATATTTTCGTGGGTCAAAAGATGCCTGGATTAAAATTTCTATATAAATTTCATTAAACTAGTGAACTTGCGTTGCTTTGTGGTATTAAACAATACAGGTAGAGATAATCATGCGTTAGTTGAAGAAGAGACAGAAGGTAGCATAACTGGCTTGAATATAATAGAACGTAAGAACCTTATTTCAGCCATCCTCGTTAGTCTACACTCACAGATTGGATCCAGTCTTTTCAGATTTAAGCATGGTTGCTTTAAGGCCAAGAAGCTTTTATTATTTCCCAGAAACCGTTTTCTCTACAAATACCTAAATTTTACTTTCCTGTTTGCTATCAGAAGGAAAGAAGCATTTACTAATCTGATGCTGAAACATAGGAGGAAAGAACATTACACCAAAAAACCCCAAGCAACCCAACACACTTCTCTTTCCACTACAGTAAAACAATAAGCAGTGTTGACATTTAAGGCATGCAGGATGTGATGAAGGAAGGAAAAAACCATTGTCCATAATAAAGAGAAGAGATACTCTCAAATATGTAGTGCAATATGTCCTTAATAAATTAATATCAGCATCCTAATCTTACCAGTTGTTAAGAGATTAATTACGTTATTTTATTTCTTTGTATTTAGTTCTTCATGGCCTTGACTTGGAAAGTGAGCATTGCATCTTTGAGAATCTCAATGGTACTGTGAACCTAATACCGCTGAATGGAGCGCAGTGTTCTGTGAATGGTATTCAGATTACAGAGGCCACACACCTAAACCAAGGTATTACCCAGCGTAATGTCGTTTTTGATACAGCATCTTTGTTTCTTTCTGGCAACAGCACTGAAAAAATCTGTGTGTATGTAAAGGGTTATTGTTTAATTGATTTTAATTCCATTTCTTCTCATCTGCAGCCAAAAATAATCAGGAGAGCCACGGAGGTTTTGTTCTGTCAAAGAATTGCCATGTGGTGAAAAGAAAGACAATTCTTTACTAATTTAAGCCGCTTCATAATCTTGAGTACGAATTGATAGTTACCATTTGATTTTGTTCAAAGTTTATACATAAAGTGAACTCCGTGCCAGATTGCTTAGGTTGCTGTGATATTAAGAAAAAGAACGTTGGTCTCTCTGTAGGACTAAAATAATGTCAGAGACATTTCCCCCCCTTTCCCCAAGCTTCAGGCCGGTCCTACTTAACACTATTGCCAAATCCTCTTGTATAGCAGGAGATTCAGCTGGAGTATCTGTTCACTGCAGTTGTAG